CTGGGTTTTTTTATAATTCCTAAATGCTAACTTTTTGTTTTTAACTATTTTGGCCACATCTGCGGAGTACCACAGTGGTTTCTTGAATTTTTTGCTTTTACTGACAAGCCTAATGCAATTTTCTGTTGCCTTCAATAGAGCAACTTTTAAATAATCCCATTTTTCTTGGACTCCATTTAAATTGCTCCAGTCTGATAATGACTCCTCTACCCATATTCTAATTTTAGAAAAGTCTGTTTTTCTAAAGTCTAAAACTTTTGTTTTTGTGTGGTGTGACTCAGTCACTGTTCTTATATTAAACCACACTGACTGATGATCACTGGATCCTAAACTTTCACCTACAGTAATATCTGATACCAAATCTCCATTTGTTAACACTAAATCTAGTATGGCCTCTTTACGAGTTGGCTCCTCAACAACTTGTTTTAGAGACAATCCCAGTAGGGAGTTTAGAATATGTGTGCTCCTGGCACAAGTAGCTAATTTTGTTTTCCAATTTACATCAGGAAGATTAAAGTCACCCATGATGATAACTTCCCCTTCATTGTCATTTTAGCTATTTCCTCAACTAGTAGATTATCTAACTCTTCAATTTGTCCTGGGGGCCTATAAATCACACCTACACGAGTTACTGTGTGATTACCAAATTCTAACGTAGCCCAAACGGACTCTATGTTTGCCTCACTAACTTTTATTAGGCTAGATTTTATGCTATCCTTCACATACAAGGCCACCCCTCCCCCTTTCTTGTATTGGGATCTTCTCCCTTTTTTGGACTTTCTATTGGACTATTTTACATATATTTTTTATTATTTATTGTGGCGCAGCCTTTTACTGTTTGTTTTCAATGCAAGAGTTATACCTCAGTGGTGCTTATGTGTCCCTACATAGTATTTATAAAACAAAGCCTAAACTTTTTATTTGGTGATGATAGTCATGGTTTTTAGCATTTCAGTTAACCCCTTGCGATGTTGTACGTTAAGAACCAGAGCAGTTTTGACACTTTTGTGGTGTTTGTGTTTAGCTGTAATTTTCCTCTCTCTCATTTACGGTTCCTATACAAGTTATATATTGTTTTTTTCAGGACAAGAAAGGCTTTCTTTACATACCATTTTTTGTATATAAAAAATTATAAAATATGGTGAAAAATTGGAAAAAAACATATTTTTGGACTTTTACTTGAAAAATCTTTTACTTATTTACAAAAGCTAATGAAAAAAAAACTGCTAAATAGATTCAAAAATTTGTCCCGAGTTTAAAAACACCCAGTGTTTACGTGCTTATAGGCCTATAAATACAAGTAGGAAATTGCTGTTTCAATGTATATATATTTTAAATTTATCAATAGTGACATTGTAACACCGTTATCTGTCATAAATCCCCGAATCACACCTAACACGTACATATTTTTTTTAAAGTACACAACCCAGGGTATTCAATATGGGGTATGTCCAGTCTTTTTTAGTAGCCACCTAGTCACAAACACTGGCCAAAGTTAGCATTTATATTTGTTTGTGTGTTAAAAATGCAAAAAAATGCTATCTTTGGCCAGTGTTTGTGACTAAGTAGCTACTAAAAAAGGCTGAACATACCCCATTTGCAATACCTTGGGTTGTCTTCTTTTGCAAATGGTAAGCCATCATGGGGGTAATTCTCATTCCTGGGCTACCATATGCTCTCAAAGGCAACCTAACCAATCTGACAAATTTCAATTAAAAAAAAAGTAAAATCAAGCCTTATATTTGACCCTGGAATTTTCACAAACACTATAAAACCTCTACATGTGGGGTACTGTTATACTCAGGAGACTTCGCTGAACACAAATATTAGTGTATCAGAACAGTAAAATGTATCACAGCAATAATATCATCAGTGAAAGTGCCGTTTGTGTGTGAAAATGCACACTTTCACTGACAATATCATCGCTGTGATATGTTTTACTGTTTTGAAACACTAATATTTGTGTTCAGCGAAGTCTCCCAAGTAAAACAGTACCCCCATGTATAGGTGTTATAGAAAGTTACAGGGTTAAACACAGTGCTAGCAAATTAAATTCTCTGGACTTTCGGCCTGGGTTGTCAGGCATGTCCCTCAAATTGTAATCATTAAAATTACTTAATTAGGTAAAAATATTACATAAATATGTACGTAGAATTTTAATATATATACATATTTATATATTTGAAGTCTACATGTATATTTATGAAATTATTTATGTAATTATGTATATGGACATATGTATATTTCGTGTTATTTTTATTTTTATTTTTTATACATAGATATATATATATAATTTCATTCTAAGTGTATTTTGATATAAATATATATATATATATATATATATGTTAATTTCAAAATACTGTTAGAATAAAATTTATTAATTTATTTTTATATACGTATTATTTATATTTTATAATAATATATATATATATATATATATATATATATACACACTATATATAGTTATTATATATATATTGCATATATACGTGTGTAATTTAATTATACGTGTATTTTTATATTAATATATGTATGTATAAATATAAAAATACACTTAGATTGACATTATGTATATAAGATATATATATACATATTACATATAGATATAATACATGTATATACAATATATATATATATATATATATATATATATATATTCAACAATATTTTTTTTACACTTATTGCTTTATTTTTAAACTTTAATTCTGATTTTACAGAGCAGGGAGACTGCCTGCTAGCACAGACAGTCCCCCTGCAGGCAGATACACAGGCACCTATTGCGGCCACTTGATCAAGAGATCACGTGGCCACGGGGTCCTGATCTGCCGGGGGAATGACGGCGATAAGGTAAGAACCCCCAGACCGTTATGATGGTTCAGGACCGTCATCGGTCCTCAAGGGGATGTTTCCGATGACGGTCCTGAACCGTCATCGGTCGTCAAGGGGTTAAAGAGAAAACAAAATCCTGACTTTTGAAATTTAGAATACCTGTAAGGTCCAAACTTTAAACATGACTTTAGTTGAAGTTGAAGTTAGTCTTTATTAGTTTGCATTACTAACATTTTTTTTATTAAACTTTAAATCAGTGCAATGGCATCTTGAGAACTTTTGTAATGGCCACAGTACATCCAAAGTACTTTGCTAAAATGGTGCAAATTTTGGGTTGTACATTTTTATGCAACATGAAAACAAACAGTATAGATTTAGAATATGTAGATGAAAGAATAGACCAAGCCTAATCACTGTACACATAACCCTGAACTATAACACACGGCACGAACACAGCGATCCAAATAAATAAATAAATATATATATATATATATATATATATCAAGTTCATGATTAGATCTGGACAGAGAAACCGAAGGTAAGCCAAATAACTGCAGCCTAATTGTCGAGGGCAAGCACCATCACAACTATATAGAATCAAATCATGTCAAAGCTCCTTTAATTGAACCAACACCAAGAACACGCATGCAAGAACGGAGTCACTTCCAGTATATAAATGAAATATAAGGGAATGGAGATCTGTCCAGGAATGACTCCAAATAAGGAAAAAGCTTGAGATTGCATGTGGCCTCCACTGGAGTAGATTATCTGGGCCCTTGCAGACAGGGCCACCATCAGGGGGTAACAATCATGATGGTTGTCACAGCCAGCAGTCCTGGGTGGCCCGGACTGCACTGGTAATCCTCTACGTACCCAGGCCCCCCGCCCTCCATTGTGTATATATATATATATAGCAAGTACCACCATATATATATATATTTATAGATGTAAAAAACAGATAAAATTCATATCTTGTAATACCTTTTTTATTGGACTAACAGAATTTTTTAATGACAAGCTTTCGGGAGAACCTCTGTTTCTCAAGTCTGAAGCATTTCTGAGCAAGACAACATATACATCTACATCACTGGACTAATACACTAATACGGCTACAATCTCTCTCTCTCTCTCTCTCTCTCTATATATATATATATATATATATATATACCTATGTGGGTCATGCTGGCTTTCAAGAGGGGCCCAGGACACACTGACCCCCCCCCTCAGGCACTCTTGTGAGCCGTGGCTGTAAAGAGTGACAGTGCTCTGCGGCACGCAATACATGCCGGCCTCGTGACTAAAGTCGAGCCTGGAGGGGGAAGATGGGGACTGCTGGGCCCCTCTTTGCTGGCTCAACCATTTGTGCCACTGGACCACCAGGGAATCCATTGTCCACCCTCCCTGGCTCCAGGTAAGTGACAGGGCAAGGGGAATATATATGTATATTTTTTACAAATAATAAAAAGTCAACAACAAAAAAATTACCCAACAGCAAAATTTGTCCAACATAAAGACACATCCACCACACACACACACACACGCACACACACACATACACACACTGCATCCACTACACAAACATCATCCACCACATAAATACACAAACTGCATCCACTACACAAACAAACGGCATCCACTACACACACACACACAGAACATAAAAAAAATTGGTGCAGATATTGAGGTCAACCTCTTACATAACCTCTGAGCTATATACAGAAAAACGAAAAAAATACCTCACTCAAACTAATGCAAAAGATAATTTAATCAAGAAAAAAGTATATATTGACATTACGTAGAAGGGGGCAGAAACAGGTACTGTGAAATTTCAAACAGCACCAATGTCACAATGTATGTACAAAAATAATTCCTGAACTTCTAATTCATAGTGTATACAAATCAAGATCACAGAAACAGTGATAGTCAATCGATCATTTGGTGGATCCACCTAATGCTTAACATATATAGTAGTATTACTCTTAACCCCTCGGTAAAAAAAGAGAATGGAGGGGTGGGGAAAAAAAGTGTAGGTTTTCTTAAGAACTATATATGTTTAAAAAAATAATATATATATATATATATATATATAAAACAAGAGGGGGTTGGCTGCACTCACCTGAACATGCATAAATGGGGGTGCTGCTGGGGGCCAAATAATACAATACACAAGATCCAGCGCACTCACCTATCCACTAAACAGCAACTTCAATGTTGAAAGATTTTATTTGTTTTTTTTTTAAACACCTAACACCTATTTTTGCCTAGATTAGGTGTTTAAAAAAAAACCAAATAAAATCTTTCAACATTGAAGTTGCTGTTTAGTGGATAGGTGAGTGCGCTGGATCTTGTGTATTGTATTATTTGGCCCCCAGCAGCACCCCCATTTATGCATGTTAAGGTGAGTGCAGCCAACCCCCTCTTGTTTTATATATATATTTGGGAGTCTAGCCAACTCCTTGGTTTTGCACCCCTCCCTGTCACAGGTGCCTCATCCCAGGGCCCTATTTAGCCTTGTACTGCAGAGAGCCCCAGATGGAATTTTTTTCCCAAGTAGGTTAATCTCATAAGAGCAGACATTAGGCTGTCAGTGTAGGACCTGCCAAAGATGGGGTACATTGACGTTGTGGCAGGCTTATGCAATGTATGATCATATAATGTAACTAAACCCCCATTATTTTTGCCTAGATTAGGTGTTTTTAAAAAAACAAATAAAATCTTTCAACATTGAAGTTGCTGTTTAGTGGATAGGTGAGTGCGCTGGATCTTGTGTATTATATATATATATATATATATATATATATATATATATATACAAAAAGCCCAAAAAAGGAAAAAAAGAGGGAAAAAAGAGAAAAATATAGTAAAAAAAGTAAATATTATTAATAATAAAAAAAATAATAAGTTCAATATACAGAGATCTGTGTATAATCCACTGAATACTTGTAAAAAAAATAAAGAAAAGAAGCCCCAAAAAAGGGAATAATAATGGTATGATCTCACCACATTGAGAGTAGTCTGTCCTGGCAAAAAGAGTCCCTCACTACTTGCATGTTAGTCCATTAGACAGTGCAACATAAGTTCCTGGAGTCTGGAAGATGTCCTGGACTGGGCAGGGGATCGGCAATATCCTGGGTTGCACGCTCGGGACTCCCTGTCCCTTAAAAGGCCCTGGTTTAGTGAAGGCAAACAAGTGGGTATATAAACCTTAAACAGGGCTGCAACCGTCTAATTGATCGACATGGTGCGAACGCAAATGTAATCGCGCGTACTGAGATATATATAGATGTACACAAACTGCATCCACTAAACAAGCACACACACAGCATCCAACATACAAACATGCACACAGCATCCACCACCACACAAACACACAAACTACATACACTACACAAACACACAAACTGCATCCACTACACAAACACACACATCATCCACTACACAAACACGCACACATCATCCACACAAGCACACTCTGCATTTAATATACACACAATACATCCACTACACAAACATGCACTCTGCATTAACTATACACCTGATATATCCACTATACACACACTCTATCCACTAAACAAACACTCTCTGCATCTAATACACACAAACATACAATCTGCATCCACTATATTTTGCTCGGGGGTGGGCTGATATGAGAAAAATAAAAAGTGTAACAAAAATTAGCTCAACTTTAAGAAAATCGCCAAGTTTTAATAGTAAATTATATTGTATATCTACATATCCAAATCTTCTATTATCTTGTAAAACTGGTGATGCTGCCTTATTCAACTAAAAAATCATATTCAATTCATCATAAAATTCATCAAATAAGGTAATATCCTTTTTTTTGTCATGATAAATACACAATCAATTTTATGATTTTTACTAGGATCATGAGGAAAGTGGGACTGATTATCTGTGAAATATAAGATTTATGCTTCCCTCGATAATGACTATTTTGAAGGTATTGTATGTTTTCATCTTTCATCTATTCTTGTGACCTCATTCATGACCTGGAGAAATCACATCTTCGAGGTAAGACATTTTTCAGTCACCATGCTGGGTCACTGCGGGTCTATTTCAAGCAATGATATTGTTGGTAGTATTTTCTTTGTTGATGAATGTTGAAATAATGTTTTGGTTTTTTTTGCTTGTTTTTTTTTTCTCCTTCATATCTATATAGAGATTTACTTCTTTAATCACGGGTTTAAAATATTACATTTTTTCCTCATACAGTGGAAATAAAGAATTCAAGATTGATTTATTTTTTTCTAACTGTTATATTTACACTATAATAAACAACAAAACTAAATACCATGGTTTATTAATGGTTTATAAAATGTACAGAATAAAAAATATTTTTATTGAATTAATCCAGTCAAATAAAAAATCAACACAAAGAAAAATATCAACCATACTACGCTTCACACACCCCTTTTAAAAAGTCTCAGGTAATGTATGCTATGACTGAAATGGTGATTACAGGAAAAAAACTGATATTTTTCTGTGCCTAGACTGTGTTGGAACATATATACTTGCAAACAATAGTTACTTATTATTGTATCCATTTCAAAGTAAACTGGTTCTTCCAATGAAACAAGAAATTATTATTCTGGTTGTTTGCTGAAATTGTGTGTAGTTCTTACTACAGTAATACAGTAAAATCTTGCCTTACGACAAGGTTTTGGTCAGGCATGAGGGACCAAACATGAAGCGACTTAACCTAAATTAATTTTAATGTTGCCCTCCGCAGTGATGATAACATTGATTGGGAACACTAAATAAAGAGAATCATACACTCAATGTTCAATTTAAACCCACCCTTCTTAATGGAGAATAGCTAATGCTAAGAACTGAGGAGTGACTAACTCTACATTGGTTTTACAGGAACACTTTAGACACCATAAACTTATCTGAATCTTACTGAAGTTATTATGATGCATGAAGTTCCCTAACACCAGCGCATTTCAAGTACTAAGTCATTATTGACACAACCACAAGTCTAAGTACTGAGTCATGCCATAACTGCATCAATGAGGACCTGACTCACACTACTTGTAATAATGCGTCCATCCCTTATGATGTGACTTGATATAAAAGTCCCTTGCATTCCCTTCTGATGTCACTGGTGGTATAAAATTAGCTTCATGTCATTCATGTACTTTCTGGCACATGGGGGTGAAGCAATACAATCACATTTTATCTACATGTCGTGTTGTGGTTCTAGCTGACCCGATAGTGCATTCCTTATTCTCTGTATTCTGGTTTTGACTTTGGCTTTTTATCTGATTATCTTGATCTCTGTACTCCTGACATTTTTGCTTGTTTACCAATTATCCTGCCCTTGACCTTGGCTTCCACTCTGACTGGTCACTCCAGCCACTGTACCGAATAGTAATATGCAGTGGTGTATTTAGGATTTGTGCTGCCCTAGGCAGGATGATGCTCGGGCACGCCCCACCCCCTTTCCTGTCAAGGCCGCACTTTGACTGACAGACGCTCACTCACTGACAGATGCACACTCACTGACAGACGCATACACTCATTGACAGACATACACTCGTATACACTGACAAACAATGACATACACACTTTTACTTGGACACACACTCTCACTGACAGATGCACGCACTCACTGACTGACACACACACACACATTCACTCACATAGACACACACACACACATTCACTTGCACACACACATTTCTCCCAACACTCACAAATGATAATTTTTTTAAAATCCACCCAGCCTCCCAGGGAGAGCTGGAGTGGATTCTTTACCTGCGGTCCAATGGGGCTGCTGGGTGGGCAGGCAGTGGCGGACAGGCTGAGTAGGCGGCGAGGGATCTCTGATTTTCCTGCTCAGCTCCCTCCGGCACCGCTTAGTGATTCCAGGAGCCAGAGTGATGTCATATTCCGGCTCCCGGCTTCATTAAGTGGTGCGGAGGGAGCTGAGCAGGAAGAGCACAGATGAGTATGCTTCCTCGCTGCCCGCCTTGTGGGGGCTCAAAGGTGGCCAGCTCTTGAGCCCCCAGGACACGAGGCAAACAAGGGATCTGCCTGGGCGTTTGGGGGTGGCTACTTTTGCCACCCCCTGCAAAGTGCTGCCCAAGGAGATGCCTTGTTTGCCTCGCGGAAGACACGTGCCTGGTAATATGGAATGTCTTTTTCAGGGCCAGAATGCTAAAACTATTTGTCCTGGCCCATTTTTTAATCACAGCAGCCCAGGAAGAAGGGGCAGGGACAGAGAGGGAGTGTTTTGTCATCACCAATTACAAGCATGTCCCCCTTAAAGTGAACATGGGGATTCAATGCTCTTCCAGGGCAGCCCATGTGCAGAGCACCGCTGAATAGCTCTCACATGAGAAAAAGGTCCTGTGTATGTTTTTCCCAGCACAAGCAAATTTGCTTGTGACTTGTCTCTGTTGTCGCCATAAGTGGAATACTAGAGACAAGAGGGGCATGAACGTGTATTGTGCATACGTTTGGAAGCTGTTTTGTGGGATTGTGTATGTAGAGTGAGCTGATTGTGGTGTGGGGTTTTGTGCAAATAGGTTGGTTTCAGTTGTGTTGTGTAAGATGTGTGGTTAGGAGCTGTAGAAAGTGAGATAGTGTGTGTGTGTGTATAGGGGGCATAGCGTGTTTAGGTGATGCGATGTGTGTAGGGGCTGTTTGTATACAGTGAATCGAGTGTGTATATAGGGGATCAAGAGTTTGTCATAAGTGCAGTGTGTGAGTGGTGCAGTGTGTGTATGTGTTTGTGGGGGTGGGGGTGGTCCGTCTGTGTGTGTGTGTGTTTGTATGTGTGTGTGTGTGTGTGTGTGTGAGAGAGGTGCAGTCAGGGCTGGATTAACATAGGGGCTCATAGAGTTGTAGCATTTTTTTTTTATTACTCTTCACATGCTCTTGCTTAAGTATGGAAACTTAGGAGGGTTTTAGGAGGACAAAACTGGTGTGGACTGGCTGACAATTAAATTAGTTAAGGTAAAGCTGACTTTGCGCTATATGCAAATGCTTCTGCTGCCTTAGGCTCTCTAACACTGTGGCATGTTCTCTTTCTTCTATACTCACTACATACACTGCTCCTCTGTCCCAGACAGAAGCTTCTGCCTGCTAGTAAGAAGTTTAGGAGATGAGTGGACTAGTGAGTGCTAGGGGACATTCCTTAGACACATTTATGCCAAGCTCAGGGTGCTGTCTGCATTGTATGCCCTTTGTTGGCCAGTCTTAATGATTGGCAGGCAGCCTGTCATGCATTTACACTAGGCTGAACATCTAATTCTTCAGGCAAACATACCCTCTTTTGGGCATGTTCTCCCCTTTGGGCAGTTCTGGTTACATGATTTGAG